ATCTCTCGAACAATTACAATCGGATTGAATAACTAGAATTGTTTAGTTACAGCTATAGTAGACTCTAGGTTACAATGTTGCGGGATTATCCAAAATTCCGAAGGCTCCGGTGTTCTTTCATCTCCGACATATATGTATTTCCTTAACAAATGTTGACAAATACCTTCACATGAATCTTTGGTAAATGATGAAAAATGTCTTTTAGTAGTGTAAGGACATGAAGAACATTTGTAGTACCATCGTACTCGGAGTCAAGTTGACCAATACAGAATTTTGCAATGTATGGATGAATAGCTGGATGATATTGCGGTGGGTTTTCACCTTTCATGATATCAACTCCTATAATTATTAACATCATAATATTAAAGTTCATCAAAAATTGTCCAATTTATTTGAATAATTTCTTTATTCAAATTTGTGCTACCGTTTAATATGGCACATATTCCATGTTGTGCTGATTGTCTTAATTTTGGTTTATAGTGTATGGTAAATGATAAAATAACATCCAACACTTGCATCGTAGATGAACTAGACCATGTGGCTGCTTCTTGTGCTCGAAGCAGCACAGATAAACACTGAATACACTGTGAAAGAAATAGATAGTATGCCTTGGTGTAATATTTAAAATCATATAGAGAAAAAGAATGAAAAATGATTTACATGTCGAGGTATTAAGTACTCTTCCGACGATGCACATTTAACAAGGATACGTAAGAAAATTCCACTTGCAGCTCCAAGTTGGATATTTAAAACATTTTTTAGGACAGTTTTTAGGCCCATGCCTAATAACGAGTGCGTGGCTACGATTGACGTATCCGATCGTTTTGTTGTATCTAGCTCCCACTTGGTCCCTAATACTCTAAATGCTTTTTCTTTCGTACATTTTATTATATGATCCCTTATACGGTGATCAATGATAAGATAAAATGCTGTCTTTACTTGTCCTTTCACTATATCCTTTCACTATATGTTTAGCATATCCTGTCGGACTTGACACACTCCTAAAAATATTATGAGCTGGTGTACTGCCAAGTTTGGAACTTGCATCTAGTTCTTTCCAAACTATTCCATCGAGCCCAGTTTCGATACATTGTTTCTTTACACCAATCTTACGTTCTACTGTGAATGATAATTTCTTTCTTTTTTGCACATTGATAAGCTCATTGATAATATTCTCGTCTTCATTATTGCGGTCTAACTATGATTCGGTTGTAAATAGCTTTTCATGTATTTCATGCTGTTTTCAGTTGCTGAAGTTTCTTGTTCATCGCATACTGAACAGTCTTCTGCTATGCCCGTTATTTTTAATAATTTTTTTTTGCAGTCTTGACATTTTTAGGGTAAATATTTATCACAGAATAACACTATGTACGGAATACAACATTATTGTCAAATTTTATATGCTTTACTATTTCTTTTATAACCACTTTACACAAAACACTCCGAGATACTTCCCGTCTGAGTTATAGAGATAACAAGTTTAGATGTCGACTAATTCACTAAGAAACCGACACGTATTCTGGTCGAAAGAAAGATACCAAGTAAAAATATAGTCTCTGACGGCGATATTTATATGAAAATATTGATTGGTACTGGCCATTTTCCATCAATGGTTGTTCGAGGGTGGAATTGACCGTTGAACATGGGAAAACCCCACTTTTTCCGTGTTTTACCGAAATGAGCAATAGCCCTAAAAAACTCTTCGTCTTTTAAAATGTTTGTAACAATTGACAACAAAAATTCTAAATTTTATGGCAGTTCCTTAGGGTCATTATATGGGACTGAGTGCACCTCTTGATCGAGGGACGAATTATGGTTTATGACAAGGTTACGTGTGTAACAGTTGTTATCATTTGTTATTACTAATTTTGTTTCTCATCTGACTCATCGCCTTTTCTTTGCACTGATTGTATTTATCTTGAGAATAAATAGAGTATTCCATCGAGCGGTCAAATTGACCGCCCACGGTAGGCAAGGCAAAGTACAAATTTTTCTTGGAAAAGAAAAAAGCAAACTAGAAATAAATACTGAAAAATATATTGTATGCATGTTTTAGGAAAAGTCACGAAATATGAAGCGATTTGATAACGTTTAAATATGGTTAAATTTGAGTAGAAGTTTTGGAAGCGGTCTAAAAGACCGCGTCGGTAGGTTTAGTGTTATATGTGACGTTTACGGGACTATCACGAATCAGGCTTTCGAGCAGTGGGAGAAGTCGGCGAAGATATTTTAAACTGTAAAGGAATACGATTGTAATGTGTTGACAAATATTATATAATGCTTATACATTGGGCCAGTCCGAGAAATTCCTGCGACGCGAAAAATTTCAAGAGGCCGTAGCGCGGAGCGCCGGATCATTGAATTCCCCACAGTGGTGTTTTTAATTAGTACGGGTAAAAACATAGCGAGCAGGTTTAGATCACGGTGAGTATTACGTGATTGCTGAATATTCAACTGACTGAGAGAACATAAGTCAAGTAAAACAAATGCAATGTCACACAGAGGGGCGACTCAATTAACTAGTGGCTCACATAATCTTGTTTCGTCAGTTTGGTAGTTAGGTGATTTGTGTAGTGTTCTACACTGTACGTGGATTAAGGAAACATAGTTTCATCCTAGTGCAAGAGACAGTGAATATCTTTTAACACTTATTTTCCAAGCACCATTATAGTTATCTGGACATAGTTAATGTTACTAGTTAATAAATCAATAGTCTCGCTATTCATTTCTGATGGAATCGATGGGTCAAAAACATAAGTGCGTTGCATCGCTTTTCGCAGGGATGAAATTCGAAATGATACTAATCAATACTATCGTAAAACTCAGAAGAGAGCAGTCTGGCTAATTTCCGATTATGGAACTTGCAGTCTGGCAACATTCCTTAGATGTTCCTGATTTTTTTAAATTCGGGTTGATTCCAGAACGAGCTGCACTTATTTCCGCAATAATGAAAATTTTTGTACTAATTAATGTTATTATGAAAGAAGTAAAAAAGTTGTCCGGTTGATGTACAACGTTGGACAATAATTCTAGCAATATGTCAAAGGTTTGAAAAAAAACTTAGTACAGTTATATGATGATAATTTACATTATCAAATCAGGGAAAAAGCAGCTTGGCTCTTGTTAGAAGTCATTAAAGTATTCCCAGGTTAACTGAAAGGCGCACAACCCGTAAATATCTAAAAATACAAAAAGATATGTTAGATTTTGCATTTTTGAAGCCGTTAGTTTCAGAATGTAATTAAATGTACTTGAGTTCATTCTTAAATATTCATAAAACTTTCCAAAACAATTTGTTATTTTTTTGTATGTGGCAGCTGTCACGTAAAATAACACACAAAAAAATAAAGAAACAAATTTAAGATGAAAAATAAAAAAAGAAACTTTATTTTTTTCTAACACTTGGTTTTACAATTTGCTTCCGAGCTCTAAGCGTGACTTTTAAAGACTGACTCTTACAACTCGAGTTCTGACGGGTTCGGTTAGTTTTCTTTTGTCACCCTTTAATATCCCCATTATCCGCGTGTTTGTTAGGCGTCGGCGACCGTTGTCACGCACGCCTTCTTCTAGAACATTCGGCGAAAAGACCGTTGGGATATCGATGGCTCATTAGGCACTTCGGCGATATACATTGCTGCCGAGTGCCGCCACATCTTTATCTCCATCATCAGTCCACCCATCATCAGTCCATCGGGTTTGAAGTGTGCCGGTCGTGACACGACACTCGACAACAGAACTTTCCGACGTCTTTGTGACACAAAGCGTAAGGCTGACGTGCTTAATGTGCTGTGGCGGCACTTGACAGTAAACTTCCCAACAGTTTACGTCGCGTGACGCACGGCATAAAGACCCTATACCTGCGGACAAGATGATTGCCAGATGTCGATACATTCGTATCGAATATTTCCAGCTAGCCTAAGGACCGCTATAAATCTTAGGATTTATTTTAGCTAAGGTCCTCCAAAGAGACAAACAGTCTTTGTTTATCAGTCTCGAAGTCGCCCACCTACCACGGGGACACACGAGAAATCTGCTATCTCTCACGTACGATGCTTCCCGCTAGCAAAACCCTCTCAAGGGCAGCTAGCATCCTTTTCCAACGACCAACACGAATTAGCCAATAAACATTAACGTACATTTCCTTCACTTTCCGAACCAAAGCTTTTCTCAACGAATCCGATGCCTTCGCATCCTTAGACACATCCCAACGCAGTCTTCCTCCGCAACAGCATCGCGACAAAAAGTCAGTCTATTACCACGAGTCAACATATCACGATCGTTATACTTACACGGTTCGAGCCGAATAATTATCTAAGCTCTCGACATCTCGTGCAATCATTGTCCGCACTCGCAGCGCATCTCGAATCGTAGCTATCCAAGCTCTATCTTATAACCGCGCATTCGCAAACCGAATATAACCGCGAATCCTGCGTCAAGTGTACTCATTGACATAGTGAATAAACATTTATCGTTCAATAAATCTGAGTTTTCCTTCCGATCCTATCACGACATACCACCTCAGTGCCATCGATATTCCTATCGTCCTTCCGCCGAATATTCGGAAGAAATCGTACACGGCAGCGGTCGCGGGCGTCTAACGAATGCGTGCGTAGTGGGGATATCGAGGGGCAACAAAAAAAAGAATCTGTAGAGGATGTTGATTGAGTTGCTGTTTAAATGACGTGATAACTCGAAGTTGAAAACTGTCAAGTAGATTTTAAAATAATAAATAAATAAATACAGATAATGTTCGCTAAGACGTTCATACTAACGGATTCACTAAAGACAGTGTATAAATCGCTAATAAGATTGCTCGAGACTGACTGATAAAAATTAATCGCCTAGCGATCGCGTACGTTTATTTATATTGGTCGGGGGAGTACCGGAAAATTTCAATTCGTCTTTGTTTGACAAGTGCATGTAGCGGCGACGTTGTTTTGCCCGGAATTTATTATTACATTATGTGTATCCTAAAGATATTGATACTCCAAGGCAAAACAACAACATGATTTGAATTGTCCTCTAACTCATTTGTCGCTACATTAAATTTATACGACATAAGTTACCTAAAATTAGGAACTTGCTTCGAGCCGACTATACCATGGTCAGCAGCCACGTGGACCGCAAGGTAGCGATGTCTAGCTAATATGAAGCGAACTAAATACCATGCGCGGCATTCCAGACCAACGCATGCGCACTAGCTTCGAAATCTCGCATATCGATACGTCCGTACACAACATGGCGCCGAGTATCAGCCACAGTGCGCGTCGCTGTTATAATCGCTACTCAAACGTAATTTTAACTAATAAACGCCACGCAATCAAACAAAACGCGAGTGTATACCATAATAACGGTCTCGAGTTGACATTCGTTACCTAACGAACGAGAGGGGCCCGGTAACCGGTGTGAACGACACACCGGGGCATACGTCATTCTGCTATATTTGGCTTATCCTTTGTTATTATAGAAATTACTGCCATTGTTCACGGCTGACCTACTAATTCGTTTAGTGACTAGACACTATGCTAGATATTTTAATACTTCCTAACATACTTAACTAAATACTTAACATTTAAATATTTAAATACTTTCTGATAGTACAATATATAATCTAAAATTTAAACATCCTGCTTTAGGGCGACATATCCAGTGAACTAACGGCGTCTGAACAATCTCATCTCCTTAAAACGAGTAAATCTATAACTTTATTATCTAATTTCAATCTAATATCCAAAAACTGATCAACATAATTTCATTATGCCCAAAAAGCATCCCCTTACAAATGATATATATTAATATAGTATTATTTGTTATAGATCC